GAGCTCAGCCAGCTCCAGTCACTGCAGACACTATACCTTGCCCAAAATCAGCTAAGTGGTGAAATACCCGAGGACCTCAGCCAGCTGCAGTCACTGCGGACACTATACCTTTCCCAAAACCGGCTGAGTGGAGAAATACCCAAGCAGCTGAGCCAGCTCCAGTCACTGCAATTTCTAGACCTTTCCGAAAACCAACTGAGCGGCGAAATTCCCAAGGAGCTCAGCCAGCTCCAGTCTCTGGAATATCTACACCTTCCTGACAACCAGCTGAGTGGGGAAATTCCCAAGGAGCTCAGCCAGCTCCAGTCACTGCGAAAGCTAGGCCTTTCCCGAAACCAGCTGAGTGGGGAAATTCCCAAGGAACTCAGCCAGCTCCAGTCACTAGAAAAGCTATTCCTCTCCCAAAACCAGCTGAGTGGCCAAATCCCCAAGGAGCTCAGCCAGCTCCAGCAACTGCAAGATCTAGACCTTTCCCAAAACCAGCTGAGTGGCGAAATTCCCAGGGAGCTCAGCCAGTTCCAGTCGCTGTGGGTGCTGCACCTTGCCCAAAACCAGCTGAGTGCCCAAATCCCCAAGGAGCTCGGTCAGCTAGAGCCACTGCGATATCTAGACCTTTCCCAAAACCAGCTGCGTGGTGAAGTACCCGAGGAGCTCAGCCAGCTCCGGTCGCTGCGGGTGCTGCACCTTGCCCAAAACCAGCTAAGTGGGGCAATTCCCAAGGAGCTCAGCCAGCTCCAGTCGCTGGAACATCTAAACCTTCACCAAAACCAACTGAGCGGCGAAATTCCCAAGGAACTCAGCCTGCTGCAGTCTCTGGAGCATCTACACATTCATGACAACCAGGTGACTGGTGAAATCCCCAAGGTGCTCAGCCAGCTCCAGTCACTGCAGGTTTTAAACCTTGCGCAAAACCAGCTCAGCGGCCGAATTCCTAAGGAGCTTGGCCAGATGAAGTGGTTGAGGTTGCTCTCCCTTGCCCAAAACCAACTCGACGGCGATTTGAGGGAGATCGCTTTCAACAACACGAACCTGGAGAGTCTTGACCTGAGCTTCAATTTATTGAGTGGTGAGCCGAGGATGCGTTTGCCCCTCGCTAAGCTTAAAGGACTTGATTTGAGCCACAACGAGCTTGCCGGGGACATCTTAAGATTTATCGAGCCTTTCTGCAGTACGAGCCCTCCCGGAATGTCATTGCAGCAGCTGCGACTAAACCACAACAAGCTCAGCGGTGAGCTGCCTCCATGCTTGATGCAGTTAAAGAATTTGCAGCTCCTGGCTCTTAACAACAATTGCTTCTCCGGAGCAATTCCAGAAGTCCAGGCGCCCGAGCTGGTGGTGTTGGTTCTCCACAAGAATGCGTTTACAGGGAAGTTGCCAAACGGGCTGGAAACTCTGGGGCGCTTGGGAGTCTTGACGGTGCACGAGAATATGCTTGCAGGCGCGATTCCACAATTGAGCCTCACCACCCCATGCATTGACAATCCGCGGTTCAATGTCCAAGGATGGAGTTGCAGCCTTCTAAGCAGCAATTGGGCTACATGCCACGAATCATATCTCAAATCGTTTCTCCGCATCCTCGTCGGCCCCCATGGTTTTCAGCAAGTGGTGAGGAATTGCCCTAGATGGTGCAAGGCTTGCCCAAACGGAACGGCAAACATGACGCTTCACAGGAACCGCCTGTCAGGCAACATCCCAACTAGCGTAACTAGCATCGACAGGACTGAGGTCTTAGGCCTTTGCATCATGGGAAACATGCTCGGGAACGGGCGAGAAGTCAACTCATCATGGATACTGACTGAAGAGAAGCAGCCCTTCCTTTACTATTCGCCGAAGGTGTGGAGCTCTCACATTCAACTGTTGAGTGGCATGGACTCGCACGACATGTTTTCTTGGTTCCACCAATTGGCCCATCGAAAAGCCTGTTGGGCTTGATGTCACGACATGTCAAAACGAAATGCGTGTTGTTTCGCCCCGCGCCCTAATCCGCAACGCTTAGGTGGTATGTGCGTCTTGCTCTTTGGCATGGCGGTTTTCAGCTGTCCACTTGGCCGAAAGTACCTCCAGACACATCGCAGCTTGTGCATAGGGCAGGCAGTTTGGGTGGTGGCCTCCAATGTGGCAGTGTGACCTGGATTTTGCCAAGAAAAGAAGTTAGATGATGTTAGATGCTATTGCCCTTCTGCCGCCCCAACACTTTTGGGTAGAGTTGTGGTCCATGATAGACGAGTTCTTTTCGATGGGCACGAGGCACCCAAGGGATGGAGTTGTTGGAATACACGAGAACTCTTACCCCCTCCAAGCCGGGAGATTCTTTCACTTCATGCTGGGAAAACGAACCCACATGGAGCCTGAAAACCACGTCGGGTTGTACAGGAACATAGTTTTCCCAAGGTCCATGTTAATCTTCCCAGGTGTAGTTATTGTCAAGTTGTTCCATGCAATGGATCAGTTCTTTTGACTGGTGCCCCACGGAAAACCAGACACCCACTTCTTCGTTTTGGTCTCCAAATCCCAGGTTGAAAGCTGCGGGGAGTGCTTTTGTACTGGCGTGCCCGCTCTTACTTTTCTTCTGGCGAAACGCTCGCTACTATGCCGCTGCGCCACCCTTGTGGAACATAACTGCTGCCAATTTTGAAGCAGACCAAGGGGTGGACTCTGTTATAGTCGCCTGTTGGTGCGTGATGGCATTCTTTTTTCGCTCTGTGGTTGCAAGCATGCCCAAGCGTCCATCTTCGCACGCCACTGCTTTGGCCAAAGCAAGCGCCCAAAAGCGACTTCTAAGAGTTGTGGCTTGGGTATGTTGGTTCGTTATTGTGTTCATTTTTTCATTGCCGTCCATTCTCTTTGCTTTCTCCCAATCTTTGCCTGCACACAACTTACTTCCGGTGAGTGATCTTGTCTTGCAATGGTTCAACAGTCTTGCTCCTTATCTCAATGTGCTCATTGACATGGTCTTCTCGGCCCCGGTCTCGGCCAAGTATGCAGCCGCCACAGGCATCAAAGCAGATCGTCTACTGATGACTTTTCGTCTCTTTTCCGCTTGGTTTGTGGCGCTGCTTACAACATTTGCATTGGATGAGAACTGCTTATCAGGCTGGAAATGGACTTGGACTGTGTGCCAGCCAGGATCTGCCAACCACCAGAACTTTAACTGGGAAGTCTTTGGCGAAGAAATTTTGAACACTGACAAGGACATTTGTGGGTCCAGTGATAGCTGGTGGTCAGACGGTCGTTGTAGCCGGGCCATTGTAGGGAACTTGACGCCCTTCCTTCTCAAAAAGCTCATGGTTCGAGCAACCGTCCAACCCTTGATGCAATTGCTTCTGTGGCACTTTTCAACGCTGGATGAAGAAAGAGGCAGCTGTCAGGGAAGACATTTGAAGCTCTTTGGTCAGAGGATGACTGGGTCCCTGGAACCTTTACAGCAACTGTCGCTGCTGACTACACAAGTGGAAGCTTTCTGACAAAGGGGGCAGCGGCATTTTGTCACTTCAGAATAGGAGGGCCAGAAGGGTTATTTAGGATTGATTCATGCATACCCATTCAGCTTTAGACATGCACAGCATAGATCCAGCAGATTGTTGAAATGTCATGACATGTCCTTCTTTATATTTTAAATAACCACAGGCCCCAGGTAATGCATAGGGAAAGTGATTTGGATTTGCCGAAAGGAACTTAGCCAAGGAACTTCTCATTTTCTGGACTCCATTTGTTCCTCTACTGAGCTTCGCAATATTTGCGGTGGCTTTGGCAAATCTCTTCATATTCGATGCTGGGTTGTGGAACTTCCGAGTGGCTCTGCCAACGGATGACATGAACAGCAGGGCTGCCATATCAACGTCGTATTTACGATTTGCTCTTTGGTCCGGCTCCTCCTTTCAATTATGGTACGCCTTCGGCACCAAGTTGTTTGGTCGATTTGCGTTGCTGGCAGTTCACATCGCTTTCATCGGACCATGGGCAAAGCACTTTCTGCCTTTGGACCTGGCCAGACGTCACTTCTGGACAGAGCATCAAACTGCCAGCGATGTGGTGATCGAGATGACCATTCAGAATGACCAGGAACTAAATAATTCATGATTTCATGATGCCAATTTCAGGAGAAATACCGTGGCGGCATTCTGTCGTTCAAACTGCAAATTCTCCACCGAGTGGAGGTTTCAGCCTTTCAGGAAGTACACCTTCACCCAGCTCGCTGCCAGGAACCCCACTGTCTGAGAGATCTCTCTATCGGTGGGGCCTGGGGTCCCCCCACCAGCGTCACGACCCTTTCCCCTCATCCTGATGGGCTGCGAGGTTTTTGGCCTCACCCGCACCTCGAGCCCGTCCTGTCTTCACTTACAGTTATTGATTTAACTGTTTATCATCAAGACCTCCAAGAGATTCCTCCAGATCTCGTCGAACATCGGCGCCCCTTCGAAATGGCTATAGAACCCAACCAACCAACCAACCCAACCCAACCCAACCCACCCACTCCGCTCAACCCGTCCAATCCGCCTCCGTCCAACCCGCTCCGAGGTTCGGCTTCTTCGGCCTGCCCGACTGGCCCGGCCTCGCCGCCGCGCTCGCGCAGCGACCGGTGGACCGGGCCGACGCGCGGTGGAACAACCGTGGGGTGAAGGGAGTGGTGTGTCACTGTGGGAGTGATGTGTCACTGGTTCGATTCTGGTTGATAAGGGGGGGAGGAAATGGGAGCGAGTTGCCGAAATCAGTTTTGGTGCTTCTTTGATTTTTTTGGGATTTCGTCACGACCGAACAAGGAAGATGATAACCACATGAGACCAGGAAGATGACAAGTTGTGATTGTTTATTACGTAACATATTTTAATAGTACAGCAGTGCGTTAACGTTTTATTTTGCCCAGAGATTTGGTGGGTGCATGTTTAGCCACCAGCCAGGTTCAAGAAGAGTTCCCCCATCCTTAGTGAACAGCTTCGTGAATGTCCATGGGTTTCACCAAAATCCAGCCATGCATGTTCAAGCAAGGCAAACCATGCCCATGCAGTGCCATGCCAAAGGATGTGGACATGTGGGGCCGCGCCAATACCTTGTGGCAAGGAGGCCAGTTCCTTGGCGAAAACGACCAGCTCGAGCCTGTCGAAAGGACGAACCGGAGACCGGGGGTGGACCGGACCACGTAGCAAGCAAAGCGGAAACCTGGAGCAAACCACCGAAGACCAGCCCATAATAGGGCCTTAATTGAGGGGCGTGAGATCCACTGTGGTTCTCCTCCTCTTCTTCTTCTTCTTCGTGCCCCATGTCTCCTCGTGGACGAAGCATGACGCCGGTGGTTGGTGCGTCACTGAAGCGCCGCTTCTTTGCCCTTGAGGCGTTGGGGAGTGCGTTGCGTCATGTCCTGAAGGGTTCCAGTCCGCCGATCGCTTCCAAGAGCCAACGAACGGCGTACACAGGACGGCGTTTTTCTTTCGGTGTTCCATGTCAAGAGCTCTAGGGCGTCGGAATCTGTGGGGAAACCAGAAGAAAGAGCCTGCGCTGCAGCTCGCCCCAACCAAGTCCTCAAGGATCCTTCCACTGTGAAATGCGCCTCAAGGTGAATATGACTCGCATAAAGATCATGAATGAACCCCGTGGGTCTTGAACTTTTGGACGTAAAGGTGCAGTCAGACGGTCAAAACTATAACAGATAGGCAGATAGGGCTCTCCCAGATCTCTCCCATTCCTGTGCTTTTTTGTGATGAGGTTCGCCCGAGATGAGTTGGAATCCTTCTGGAAGGATGGCCGTGATCGACAGTTCAACTTCGACAGCTTCCGTGGAACGCATCCGCCGCACATTCACATCATCGCTGGGTGGAATGATATGTTTCTGCAGCAGGGTTTGGATGATTTCGTGTCTGACTCTTGGCAGGACATCCAAACTATGATTTTTCTGAGGTTTTGCCTGTGCTGCCTTGATTTGGACAGATTCGGATCCTGGGTCAATGAAAGGATCAAGACATATCAAGACGAATGTTGGATTGGCAAGCTCTATGGTTGCATGCACTCATTCCCCAGCAACAACAAAACAAATACATCAATGCGGGAAACAAGAAAATGTGTGAACATGTCCCACATGGTATTAAGCAGGTTCAAACATGCGGATGTGCTCAACCTACCCTCCACAGCAACAAGATCAAACTTAATTGGCTAGGAAGATTTACACACAAAAACAAAAATGTGCTTTCGAAGATCCAGGTGACACTGCAACTAGACTGAAGCTTTTCTGAGGTCGTCCATTTGCAACGTGAAAACCGTGCGACCGTAATCCGTTTCGGGACTCAGATGGGACGACGACTGCCAGCCACTCAGCCCTCGGTAATTTTTCCCCGATCCCTGCACACCATTCGAAGCTTTTTCCTCCAAGTGGTGAACCCTACAGTGCCCTACAGGTCAGTTTGACCTTTTTGGAGATTGGTCATGCAAAACCACTAGCTCGTTTGGATGGCAAAGCAACCAACCAGCCCTTGGACCTGGGTCAGACCTGGACGCACGTAGGGTTTGATGGACCACCGCCGACCATCGAAATGCGCCCCAGGCGTGCCGACTGACCGAAGCGCGGCTGACCATCTACACGGGCGGTCACTTTGGCCTCATCACGAAGCATGCAGGGGAGGCGCGCACCCCCGCGGGATCGGAAAAGTGCTCCAGGTTGGGGGGGGAGGGGGCAGATGTTGTGGGACTGGGACTTGGGGTAGGGGGGAATGGCTTGTGAGATGGGTGAGGCGCCATCGCATGCATCGGCTGCTGAACAAATCTGAATCTGAACCAACAACCACTGGACCTTAGGATTCCAACGACCCGGTGGGTCCCTTGATTGCGAATCGGAAGCCACGAGGCCTCGGCCTCACCGGGCGATGCATCGGGTCCTCGCGTGGGTCCCGTCGTCAGGTGGCGGCGGAGACGGGCCGCTGCTACCGCGAGCACCTCGGTGGCGACATGCTGGATCACCGGAGCCCCGTGCGGATGCAGCTGATCACCACGACCGACGAGACGACGCTCGGCGTGCTGCGATGGAGAGCGCATGCTGCGATGGCGGTGCAGGGTGCCAAAGCGCATGGCTTTTTGGCTCTTTTTTGGGCTCCCCGAGAAGGAGATGGCCAAGCAAAGATGGAGACATAGACATAGAGCATCATAGAGCCACGTGACCGAGGAAGGTTTTGCCAAGATGGATTGCTGTGTGTCTTGGGGCTTTTTGTGAATCCTCTTTGTCAAGAACGGGCCTTGCAAGAAGTTGTTGATAGCACCAGTTCCAAAGGAATGGTTTTTAGTCCCCAAGTGAGTGGATGTCCTGGGCATCCTTACCCTCCAAGAGGAAGCCCCTTTGGAACTGCTGGTAGTTGGTGTTCGTTGATGGTTGAGAGAGTGCTTGCCGTCAAGTCGCAATGCCTGCGAGGCCTGCGGTTAGGCTTCGAAAAAGCATGCGGTTGACACACCTCGATATCCCGGATGCGGGTCAGATTACTGCAATCCGTCACAACATGCATGTGAACCTGAATCAGCATCAAACATATAAAGACCCGTGTGATCCCGAGTCATTCCTTTAGGTGTTCACGTTCGAGAATAGACCACATGTTTTCAGCATGTTCAACAGATTGATCAAAATCCATGCCGAACTCTAGGGCTCACGAAGTTTACTATCCGCACTGGTGCCTTTGGTTGACAATGTTGACAGGAATTTCGACTGACAAAGCCTGGATCCTTGCCATGTCGTGCCTGAAGTAAACACATGAAACAACAAAAACAATGGGAAACACCAATCGCCGATCGCCATTTTTTTCCGATACGGCATGGTATGCCTCTAACTTATAGAACAGGTCTATTGCCAAGCATCATGGGGCACCGGAGCGGGGGCACAGGACTCGACGACGCCCAACGAGCTCGTGCTCCGGTTCCTGAGGGAGTGGTTGGAATGTGAGACGTGGCCGCCGCCCTGTGACTCCTATCTGGACTATTTCCTGCTTGGAGAAGGCGCCACCGGCAGATTGGCAGAAGAGGCCGGAAGCTGTCGCCTGAGCTACACCTACGATCCCAAGGACCAGAGGGAGGGAGGGAGGTCACGTGCCTCGTGCTTCGAGGGTGTCCGAGGCAAGCTCGTTCAGCATGAGAAGAACGAGCTTTCGTACCAGAAGTGTCCAAGCTCACTTCAGCTTCTCCATGTAATTTCTTCCCTTATGGAGCTTCTGACCAGAGAAGTTTATAGCTTGGATCATTCAGAAGGAGTGTCTACAATGGGTAGGATGAAGATGTCCCGTCGAAGTGAGTGGTGTTGGTGTTCTGTTAAATTTGAAGTGGCGTCCAGCTGAACTCGGTTTTGACATGTGCCGACCGATGCATCAAAGAGGGCATGTATGTGAACAAATCTTGCATGTATATACCCCAGACACTCCATGTATGCCATATATGTCTACAATTGTCTACATTGGGGTGGTTTTGGGGTCAATGTAGGCATATATGGCACAAGAGAAGGTTTACTAATACTCGCGTTTTTACATTGAGGCTTTGTTGCTCGAGCGCCTACAAGTACGGTGACCAGTGAGCCGGCCACTCGTGTTTGTTCCCATGGTGCCGCTGTGACTAGAGCCAGGATCCGACTCCCTATGCTGGTGATGGCTGGCTGAACCTGCAAAAGGATGGCGCCCAAGACCAGCGAGGCGTCTATCATCCTCTATCCGCGCATCAAGTCGAAGCAGGAATACGAGGATTTTTTGCACCAGGGAGATTTATATAGTTCGTGCTGGTGTTGTCACCCGCATTCTTCAAACACAGGAAGTCACCGTGCTCATGCGGACTACGTGCTTCGTCCATCTTCGTCCATCATTGTGAGAAGTATCCAATCAAATCTGCCCGCCTGCTAGCTAGTTGTGTATCATCACCGGACGGATCAAAACAAACACAAAAGCTGGACTTTGGCGTCATCCTGGAAGCACAGCGGGTCTCAAAAGCACAACAGCCAGTTCTTGGATTGCCCATGGTTGACGCACAATTCTTTTTTGCTTCAAAATTGTTTGCAACTCCGTCAAAGCTGAAGGTAGATGTAGGACATGAAACTGAAACTGATTTGGAAGAGACTATACTTTTTCCAT